GCCGCGCTCGCCACGGCGGCGCCATCTTGCGCGGCAGCGAGTGGAGGCGGCCGCGGAGTCGGGGGGCTGCCGCGCCACTTGCCGCGGAGGAGGTGGGGGACAAGGGCGCGGTGACCGCAGTGGTCGCGGGTTCCTGTGGCCGCCAACCCGCCAGGGTGGGCGTCCGAATGGCCGGCCCTTGCGAGGAGGGGTGGCGAGGCCTCTGGGCCCCGTGCTTCCCTGGGCTGGGGGCTGCAGAACTAGACGCTCATCCCACGAGGTCCCTGGTTGGCTGGGTCCAAGGGTAGCCCCACAGCCTCGCCGTGTTTGGGGGTGGCGCTTGTTTTGCCGCAGTGGCGGTGGGAGGAGCTGAGGGCTGCAAGGGTGGGGCCAAAAGATGAGCCTTCGGGGTATTTTCTCTAGGTGGCCTTGGGCTGGGGAGCCCCGCCTACCCTGGCGCCCTGATAAACGAGGGCGGTAGGGTTTGGTGTGCGGGTGCGCTCCTGATTGGTTGGCTGCGGGCTGGGGCGGAGCCGAGGGCTGTCGTCAGCCAGCCGGCCCCGCCTACTAGGGCGCCATCTTCGGTGGGCGCCGCTGAGGTTTGCCGCGCGCAGGCGCGGTTTGGCTGGCGGGCCGCGCAGGGGCGGGGCGGGCGCTCTTTGCAGTGATTGAGGGCTGCGGGGTCCCGCCCATACCGTACCTTGTTTTTCCGGTGGTATGTTTGGCTACAGAGGCTTTCCGTGTCGGCCCCACGCGGACTAGGATGGGGTCTGAGCTCTGACTCCTGAGGTTGGACCTCGGCTCGTGGCCTGGTTTATCGGCCAGTGCCACGTGGCATCTGGTGAAGCCGGGCACCACCCTGGAGTTGCCCGTAGCTGTCGCCGCTGCGGAATGTCTGTCTGGAGGGACAGGGCTACAGGCTGTCCGTGTGCCCGGGGTTGGGGGCCTTCCGAGGCTCGCTCCATCCCTTGTGGCTGTCTCCTTAGGACTGTTTTCACGCTGGGGTGTGTCTGGCTGCGTGTTTTGGTTGGTAGGGGTGCTGGGGCGTGGGAGCCGCCAAGGTGCGCTGCACGGGTGGCCGCGTGCAGCCCCGCAGAGCCCCTCCCACTCTGTAGCTATGCATGCTGGCCGGTAGGTGGCAGCCGAGGCTCGTTGCGAAGGCGCCCTCGTGAGTGACGGTGGGGTGCAGGGGCGGGCCTGCGGGAGGGGCTCCTGAGCCCCGCCCACCCTGGCCAGCTCTGTGTTGGCCAACAGGTAGCAGCAGAGACTACTGCGCAGGCGCCGCCTTGAATGACTGCACGGCTGGCCCAGGGGCTGAGCCAAGGGAGTGCGGGGTGTCTTGCGTGACCGGTGGAGGGCTGCAGCCCCTCGCTTCCTCCAGGGCTATGTGGGCTGACCAGCGGCCGCGGAGGCTTAGGATGCAGGAGCCATCTTGAGTGATGTTGGAGCTGCCAGGGGCGGGCCCGAGGGAGAGGATGACGTAGTTTGAGTGACCGATGGTGGGGGGTACAGACCCCAGCCCATCTTGCGGTGTTTGTTGGCCAATAGGTGGCATCTGAGGCGTACTGTGCAGGCGCCATCTTGCACGGCCGTGGGCCTGCAGGGGGTAGGCCCACAGGTGGGGCTGCCTATCCCGAGTGACTGACGGGGGGGGGTGCACCCCCTCTGNCCTACAGGCCGCAGCTGAGGCTGACGGGTGGGGCATCAAGATGAATGGCGGTGGAGCTGCAGGGGCCGGCCGTGGGGGCGGGGCCACTGGAGCCCCGCCCACTCCAGTACCACGCTGTCCGAGGCTTTCTGCGCAGGCGCCATCTTGAATGACGGCCCTGCTGCCTGCAGGGGCGGGGCTGCCCTGTCCTGAGGGACGGATGGGGCGGAAGACCCGCGCTCGCCCCGGCGCTTACAGTGCAGGCGCCGTCTTGAGTGCCAGCGGCGGCCTGCAGCCAAGGCTCCCTACGCAGGCGCCTTCTCGAGGGGCAGCAGGGCTGTGGGGGCGG